CGATGAAGCAAACGTATGTCTGCTATAGAAATCGACACCGTTACTTATATTCGTAAGAAAGTAGGGTTTCGAGACTACCAGTAAATCATTATAATGAACAACTTTTGGGAAAGCAAGGCTATATGAAATTCAATGGAAACGTCAGCTCAACTCATATCATTGTGGCTAAATATTAGCCAGAAACCCTGAAAACCGCATCTAAAATCACTGGCGAAGGTGATTACGCTTCACTAAATCCACTTGAAGCGATACATTCTAAGGTGACACAGGAGAAAATGATATTACTCAATGATGTGCATAGGCAAATGGACGATACGAATTTGGATTGAGAGAAAGAGATGCAGTAGTAGAGTCTAGGACAAAATAGGGACGAGGAGCTCTGGCGACTCTCACTGACGATGCAGGCGAAATGTATCAGGTCAGGGGTACGATGCTAAAATCATCATGAGGGCTCCGGACTAGGTACATTCACCAAGTTATCCCTGTTGTCCTGAGCAAGTTGCGAAAACGAGACCAAACCAATACCATGCAGCTAAAAGAGGTTGTGACTAAATAGACGACTACATCAACTTGGTCTTCATATCTAAGACTTGATTTCTTCCTTGAATTTCACTACTTTTTCTCCCAAGGTTGGTTTTTATTTTAATAGAACTGCATTTTTGTCCTTAGAGATATGGCAAGCATCTCTAACGGGGTATAAAACTCAGTATATGCTATATTCATTCTTGAGACTATCAGAACTCTTATTTTAATATATGCGAGTTCAAAGACACATAGTTTTAGCCTCATTATGTTACAAGGAAGTAAATCAGTCCTATCACCACCCACTTTCGCTTTTCACTATTACTATCAAACGTACTACTTGTGAAGAATCTTACAGGAAACCTATTATTTGTGCATTGCATGTATTAGCGCTTCACGAAGCTATGGAGCGACGTCATCAAATTGAAGCACGTCTAAAGGAAATTGCATTAACCCGTCAGCAGCTGCTGGGTGATCAAGAAGACTTGACACTATGTGACGCTCAGGACTCCCTCACCTCCGCTCTCTCAAGGTCAGAGAGGTTGCTTTCTTCGGAGAAGCCTCTATTCAAGCGATGAAGTAAAAATTTGTCCGGAAGACTCATAGCCTGATTGGTATGTGATTCCCACTTATTTTTACTGTATGGTACTCATTCTTATTGCTATGAAGACTAATAATTAGAATCTGTATACATTTGACATCCGGGCATCATACGTAAAAAATGAGCTATCATAATTTTTAGAAGTGGGTTGACCTCGTTGTCGCAACTTGGTCTTGTGTTCAGGGAGACTATGTAGAACGCA